TGTAATGCTTGCATAAGTAATAGTGTGTGTGTGTGTGTGTGTGTGTGTGTGTGAGTGTGTGTAAAAGAGAGAAGTTAGAGCTCATTATGTGCACATGCTCTCACACCTGTAGCAGGTTCTTGTATGAACAAGGTCCTGCAAGGCGACAGAGTCTTTCATGTTGAACAAAGGTTGTTTTTCTTGACATGTTGGCTATCTGGACTGGGTGGTGGCTGCTTTTAGGAGACAGTAGCGAGATCAAACAGATCACTTCCTCTTCCATATCTGAACAGTATGACCACTGGCTTTGGGTCAGCTGTCTGGTAAATGAAACCACTGATCAAATATACACCAAACAATAAACCCCCTTATGTTCCATTACATCTGCTGTGCGTCTAACTTCTAGATCAAAGATTAAACCTCGCCAGATTTAATTTCTTTTCAAGGCAGTCTTTTATTTCTTTTGATAGGAGTCAGTGAGACGGACATTACATCATACAGTATGATGTTTTCCACTCTGAAAGTGGGTGTTACAGAAGTGCTTCATCTCCTAAAAAGTTAATTGTAGCCTAGGTGGGAACTGTCTGTAAAACTGCCCTTATTACAGGCCAGGGGCAGGGGACATCATTTCAGCGTTACACACTTCCTGTGTTTCCAGGGCACACTCACTGCACATGGTAATATTTCAGGACCCCAATAAAAGTCTACAGCCTGAGGAGATGGCCGCTCTATAACAGTCTACACCCTACCTTAAGGCAAATCTTCACATTTATCTTCATTTCAATTGTTCATTGATTAGGGATGCAGTTCAAAGCTCTATATAAAAAGTTCATATGCCCAGACAACCATTTTGTTTTTGTTTTACTCTTTCAGTATCCCTTTATGCCAGTCTGACCCAGCACCCTGCGGTACAAAGAACAGCATTGTGGGGGTTACACAGCAGGGCAAAGCAGCTGCACTGGACAGTGGCTGACTTCCCTGGCAATAGCCAACACACTGACAAAGACCACTGTGAAGCCCGTCCACATGAGTGAATAAATAAACCTCTCTTATGCATCTTTTAACCAGAAGCATCTGCAAAGGCACCTTCACAAAGAGCATATTTATCACAACAATGAAACTACAAATGGTGGACATGCAGGGATACATCTTAATGTTCAGTCTCCAGACAACTTCTCCGACTCAGAATAGAGGATTTGTGTCATTTGTGTTTTTGTGTATACCGTATAATGATACAAAAATGCTAATCAACCATATTTAACTGGATTGAGATTCATTCTCCACAACTCCATAACTTCGACACACAACATCTGCTCTGCAACAAACATAATGTTCTTCTTTTTTTCTTTTTTCAAAATGTATTTCTTTGTTTATAATAAGACAGTGCAGCATATCAGGAAACATGTGGAGAGAGGGGGAAGAATGCAACAAAGGTCTGAATTGAACAATGGATGTTGCGGTTACATGAATTGCCCCTAGCATGTGGGCCAACAGAGATGACGACTTCCCCATCCTGCCTGTGGCTCTCAGCCCAAAACTCCATCAGCTCCTACTGAAAAAGTAAATCTTATATCTACTCAAACCACAGAGTTGGTGCACTATCAACTATTTACAGCAGCAGTAAGGTGACTGACTCAAATTGTGCCCATGTTCATCGTAATGAAAGGAACATGTTGCCAACAGTGTAACAGTGTGGCTCACTGATGTGTTTTTGAACAAGGCTCAGAGGAATAAATTATATCAGGCTTTGGGTACTGGGGCAATACCTGTTAACAGGATGAATTAAATAATGGTTTTGTCCTTTTCATGAGGTTTGTTGATAAAAAGAAAACTACAGAATATCATCAGACTTATCCGTTCATTTTAAATAAGCACACGTCCAAAATAAACCCAAATTAGAAATGTCCTGACATACTTTTTAACCTTCTGTACTGACTTATGTACTTGTTCATACTCTAAAGTAGCAAATAACCTTTGTAATGTATTTGTAGTTGGCAACAGTGACCAAAAACAATCTTCACTTCATGAAAACACCAAAATTGTATTGCATTTTCGTCTCTCTGACTCACTTCCTAAGTTTTCCATCCTGACGTTGAGAAACGTCAGGTCCCTCCAGAGCATAGGTCCAATAACTGTTGTTTTTTAGAGAGTTTGGCATAAACTCACTGTTGTTTCTGTCCCAGATAGAGACTCAGAAGAAGAGGGCTGGCTCACAGATGGGGGGGGTTGGGCAAAGAGCAGGTTGTGAAAAACAGCAGGTTTCTCCATTGCTCTGGGCGAGTCTCTAATGACTTCCAGACCTACTCTCATACAGTCTTTGCGTCTAGACTGCAGCTACGGCACTCTACCCTGGCCTCCCAGTTGCTCACTCACTCTCTCCTAGGCTAACCCCCCTCAAAAAAGCAACATTTACACACAAATACCCAAACACACACACACACAAAGCCCCCACCCACCCATCCTCTTAGAAAACTACAGGCGTTTCGGTCTGAGAGGCTGACCAAAAAGACACTGCTGCTTTCATTCCCTCCCCAGGGATTCAGCCTCAAGGCATCGCAACTCTAATAAAGACTTTGAACGACAGCTGTCTTTTTTTTTTTGTACTATTTCTGATTTGTTTTGTCTCATGACTGCATCCTCTGTGGCTCTGAATGCAAAAGGAAATCACATCTATCAAAGAAAGACAAACTTTGTAAATCTCCTAATTGGGCATGACAGAACTGTTTAAAGGCAGAATGACTTCTGTCACTTACTGATAAAAACATCCCATTGTTTTCTGCAGTGTGGCTGTGGTTAGCCAAACAAATCTAATAGGCCAACACTCAGTTTGTTAGCCGACAACTGCTCTCAGAATGCATTTAGAGGGATCAAAGGCTACAGTAACATATTAGCATAGCTTTGATATTACAAAGAAATGTCTTATTAACGCAGCAGGTTTTAGATCCATTTCTGGGGCTGTTTTACACTTGGAGACTGCACCTGTTGAATAGTGTTCAAGTCAAATCGATCTGCATAATTTGCACGTCTCCTGCACTATGGGTGCTTTACACACACACATACACACACA